AAAAGTTAAAAAATGAAGATAACCCAAAGTAAGAAAATAATTTTTTTATCTAGAGCCATGTTACAAATATCTTTTTAGTCATATATGTGCACATGATAGTTAACTGAAAATACAGCAAGTTATAAAACCATATATACAAATCCCACTGTACAGGTCTCCTTGTGGCTATTAGAGCTACAATGAGTCATGTCACTTATCACCTGGGACATCGTCTCCTTGATTTCCACTAATTTCTTTCTTCTCTCTATGTCCTTAGAAGGCTCTGATTTGTCACAGAATGTAGTGCTTCTAGAAGGAAAGTGACATGAACAGTATCGAACAGCACAGGGTCGAAATAAGATTTCAGATTGGATGCTGTGCTGGCTGGTTTTATGTCAACTTGGCATAATCTAGAATTATCTGAAAGAGGGAACCTCCACTGAGAAAATGCCTCCATAAGATCTGACTGCAAGGCATTATCTTAATTAGTGATCAATGGGGGAGGTCCCAGCCCATTGTGTCATCTCTGGGCTCTATAAGACAGCAGGCTGAGCAAGTCATGTGAAGCAAACCAGTAAGCAGCACCCTTCCATGGCCTCTGCATCAGCTCCTGCCTTCAGGTTCCTGCTCTGTTTGAGTTCCTGTCCTGGCTTCCTTCAGTGATGGACTACAGTGTGGAAAGTGTAAGCCCAATAAACCCTTTCCTCCCCAACTAGCTTTTTGGCCTTGGTGCTTCATTGCAGCAGCAGAAACCCTGACGAAGACAGATGCTTCCGCCAAGAGGTGAGAGTTTGGCTGCAGAGGGGTCAGCGGTGAGGAAGGTGAGTGCAAACTGCTGTGGGCATGAGAGGTGGAACACAGGGATCCTCCTGTGAGAGAGAACTGAGCTACTTTAGTGACTGGGGGAAGGAGTGGGGGAGGGAGGGAGGGAGAGAAGGAGAGAGGAAGAGCAGAGATAATAGTATTAACTGAATAAGATACAAAGATATGAAAGGCTAAGGTAGAGCCGAAAGTATAGAGTTGAATTTGAGTCAGTATGAGGAGCAAATTTTAGGTCAGGATCTGGAGGAGCAAAACAGCAAAATCAAATTATTCCTGTTGGCCTCAACTTCCTTCCTCCCTCCCTCCTTTTTTCCCTGTGAGGTTTATTTGTTTTATTTTATGTGCATGCGTGTTTTGTCTTAATGAATGTATGGGCACGTGTGCGTGCCTGGTACCAAGGAGTCAGAAGTAGGAACTGGATCCTCTGGAACTGGAGTCGCAGATGACTGTGAGCTGTCATGTGGGTGTTCAAACTTGGGTCCTCCACTGCTGGGTCATCTCTCCAGCCCCTCCCCGTTCCTTTTTGAGACAGGGTCTCATGTATTTCAAGCTGGCCTTGAACTAGCTTTGTAGCCTGAGGATGACCTTGAACTTCTGGTCCACCTACTTCCCGAGCGCCTGGATTAAAGCAGATGGAACTCCGGTTTCATGCACGCTAAAAAGTGCTCTACCAACTGAGCCACACCCTCAGCCCTCAATTTTCCAGATATTCTGAGAGGCAAGCCTTCTTTCAAGAGTGAGGGGCTGGAGACTGAACAGAGCTGCTGAATGGGCCAGGAGGGAGCTGACACAGGACAGTGTTGAAGAAGGAACGAATCTAACGGGCTCATCCCCGTGCCCTGCTTCTTCCTGGCCCAGGCTCAGAGGAGGCAGACTCCAACACCGACTCCTAGCTCACCACAGTTGCAGTGGAAGGAAGAAGCAGAAAGGAATTCCCTTTTCCTTTTGAAGTGGAGGTCTCACTATGTTGCCCAGATTGGCCTGGAACTCCAAGTCACGCCATCCTCCTGCCTCAGTGTGGTAGCTAGTAGTATAAGTGTATGGCACTATGCCCAGCTGAAAGTAGATTAATGAATCTTAAAATTTTCTTTGTATCCCTTCATGATTAAAAGTAACAGCAACAGGGGCTGGAGAGATGGCTCAGAGGTTAAGAGCACTGACTGCTCTTCCAGAGGTCCTGAGTTCAATTCCCAGCAACCACATGGTGGCTCATAAACCATCTGTAATGAGATCTGGTGTCCTTTTCTGGCCTGCAGTCATACATGCTGTATACATAATAAGTAAATAAATCTTTAAGAAAAAAAAATACCAGCCTGGGCTACCAAGTGAGTTCCAGGAGAGGCGCAAAGCTACACAGAGAAACCCTGTCTCGAAAAACTAAAAAAAAAAAAAAAGAAAAAAAGAAAAAAAAAGAAAAGTAACACCAACAACTAAGAAAAGGCAGAGTGTGCTCAACCTGAAAAAGGATATGCATGGAGCTTGCCGGTCACATACTTGATGCAAAGAAATTGGATACCTTTTTTTCCCCCAAAAATGAGGAACAGTTTTCTCAACTGTTTTTTATTTATTATGTGTGAGGTACAGTCAGTGTGTGTGTGTGTGTGTGTGTGTGTGTGTGTGTGTGTGTATGTGTGTGTGTGTGTGCAGGTCAGAGGACAGCATACAGCTGTGGGTTCTCTCCTTCCTCCATGTTGGTCCTGGGAATCCCAACGGAGGCCCTCAGGCTTGGTAGTAAGAGCCTTCCCCTGCTGAGCTACCTTCCCAGCCCTTGACTGGATTTTATTTACTGTTTTCACATTTTCATTATTTTGTGTGTATTTGTGTGAGTGTGTGTATGCCATAATATTCATGTGGAGGTCAGAGGCCAACTTGCAGGTCTCAGGAATCAGTTCTCTCTCTGATGAACCAGTGATATGTGTGTGGGTCCTGGGGATTGAGCCTAGGGCTTTGTGCATGCTGGGCAGGCACTCTACTAACTGAGCTCCATGCCTAGCTCTTCAGGTACTCTTGAATCAGGGCTTACTCACTCTTTACACAGTTTCCAGTTCTCCACCTTGTCCTAGTTCCTCAGCTGACCTACCTTATAGCTGCCAATATGACCATCTCCTGGTAACCACTTCCTTATGAGGCAAACAGCAAACAAATTGAAGTCTAGGCAATAGAAACCGTTCAAAAGTATCAGAACCTGACTGGCCTTAGTCATTGCTCAGAGTATGATAGCAATTAAGGAAAACACACCTCCCCTCACTTTTTGCTCTTTTTCAAAGCACACCTTTAGTTCCAGCACTGGGGAGGCAGAGGCAGGCAGATCTCTATGAGTTCAAGGCCAGCCTGGTCTAAGGAGTGAGGTCCAGGCCAGCCAAGGCCATGTAGCAAGATTTTATCTCAAAGAACCAAATAAATAAATATGTGTGTATATGTCTGTCTATGTGTATGTATGACTGTATGTTCACCTGTCTGTGTGGGTGTGTGCCAGAAAAGGGTGGCCAGCATTCTCCACAGTCATCCTCTGCTTAATTCTTTGAAGCAATGTCTCTCCCTAAACTTGGAGCTTGAGTTTTCTAAGCTGGGCTGAAAGGTGTGTGAGGGTCAGCTGTCGTGTTAATGTGGGTGCTGGGATCCAAACTCTGGTCCCCTTGACTGTACCGCAAGCGCTCGAGAGTCCTGACCCACCTTTGTAGCCCAGCTGGAAAAACAGACAGTGGTCACGATCACAGTGTTGTAAATGTACTGAATGCTACCTACAAATGGCTAAATGGCCTTTTCTTTTTTTTAAAGCAGGAACTCATGTCACCTAAGTTGGCCTCAGACTGAATATGTAGCCAAAGATGAAAACAAACTTCTGGTCCTCTTGCCTCTACTTTTCAAGTTCTGGGATAACAGCACCACCACACCCCTGGTTTTATGGAGTGCTGGGCACTGAAACTTGGGTGTTGTGCATGCCAGCCAAGTACTCTAGCAATTGAGCTATATCCCCAGTCTTAAATATAAAAATGTCGAACTCATGTTAAATGCATTTTACTACTGTTAAAAAAAATTTGATACAAGGTACAACATGGATAAACTTGCGAACATGACACGGAGAGACCTTGGTGACAGAAGACCTCATGTTGAATTATTTTGAGTAAATACCAGGATAAACAAATTTATAGACAAAATAGATTGCTGGCTGGGTAGTGCTGGGTTGGAGAGGATGGGGGAGCGACCTTCAAAGGACAGAAGAGTTTCTCTTGGGAAAAACGTAAATTCTCTATGTAATTGGCAGTAGCAATGGACACATGGATACACAGTTCATCATGCAAAAATCCAGTAAGATCGTCTTCTTTAAAAAAAATCCAAGATGGCTCCGTGGGTAAAGGTACTTGCCCACAAGCCTGTTGACCTGAGTGTCATCCCTGGAAGGTGGAATTGGTTCCATAAAGTCCTCTGACCACCATAATAACTTGTGCTTCCCTGCCAGACACGATGATAAATAACGTGTCATATTTAATTGGAAGTACTAGTATCAAACTCAAAGCATCCTACAGAGGTCGTTGAGAGGTACCCCCCAGCCCCGTCCACTGTTCTGAATGGGGAAAATGTAAGTCTAAACTAGTAAATTATATCTCAAGAAAGTCACTATGAATAACACCAGCCACAGGGCTGGAAACCACAAAAAGCTCAAAGGACATCCAGTGCTCCTTGGCAATTCTAATAAGGAGTGGTGGGTCAGAAGCATAAGCAGAATATTCCCAGATTAGAAATCTCTTGAAATCAATTATAAATTATAAGATTCATACTTTGGGGGTCTCAATGGTCATGTTATGTATCTTTAAGATGAAGTTGGGGGCTGGAGAGATGACTCAGTGGTTAAGAGCATTTGTTCTAGCAAAGGACCTGAGTTTGGTTCCCAGCACCTACACAGTGGTTTACATCCTTCCATAACTTCAGTTGCAGGGGATTCTAAGCCCTCTTCTGACCTCGGCATCAGGCACACACATGGTGCACATATGTACACACAGGCAAAATGTGCAAAATGTTCATGCACATAAGGTAAAATAAAACAATTGTGGGGGAAGAAAGGTTAGAAGTTGCTTGGGTTCTTCTAAGCTCCGCTGGTATGAGTCTACCATGAGTGGCCTGCGAAAATTTAACCCAGGGCTTGGCAGGAAGGCAGCGGCTTGATTCAACAAAAGGTCTAAAGAAACATCCAGAAACAGTCTTGCAACTGTAATTTTTATTTTCTTTTGTGAAAATAAACTGGGAGTTTAAATTGCTCCAAAAACCATAAAAACAAAATGAAATACACACAGAAGAAGCTTGTGAGGTGGGCGGGGCAGAGGGTCTCAGAACTTGGGCAGATTGTACCAGCACAGACTGAGGTGACAGGAGTCGGACACTGGGGACTGGGCCCTGCCAGCCACTCTGAGACTGCGAGGTGGGAAAGCTCAGCTGGGCACCAGAGAGGAACACAGACTTCTTGGAGGCACCTTGAGTCCCTTTAAGGGGTGGGGGGACCTTTTCAGAGGAAGGACCTTGTTCCCCACCACCAGCTGGAGGCTGGCCCCTTGGGGCCGGAAGAGGAAGAGGGCGAGGCTGGTGGGAACCGGTCAGGCCAAGATGTCATCACACACGGTCATGGCCTGACGCTGGGCAGAGGACAAAGGGCATGAACTGGTGGTGTGGAAAGCATGACAAAAATTTGCGCTAGGGAACAGGAGTGACCCGGAGGAAGGGGAGCCAGGCTAGAACTCCAGGCCAGGCCACGCAAAGTTGCAGATGCGGTGCGGGGAGCTGGGGCAGGCGGGGGCTGGCGAGGACAGGGGAGGGCAGAAAGTCAGGAAGAGAAGAGGTAGAGAGGCATCTTCTGCCCAGGTACACCTACCACAGCGCACGGGGAGAGCGCGAGCGAGCGACACACTGCTTTTCAGTGCTTTCTTGTGAAGATATTTTTTGGGGGGGGGGTAAGGAAGATTTTGTTTTGTTTTTTTCTTTTTCTTTTTTTAAAAAAGCCTGAAGATCAGCTATTGGTTACATCTACACTCGTAAAGCACTGCTGTTACCAGACACTTTACAGAACAGTCCAGAGTGGTCAAATATTGACCAATAATGTTTCCTTTTTTTCTTCCCCCCCCTCCTCTTGTCTGAATCGTAACTACTTGGAGTCCCAAGACAGCCTGCATAGAACAAGGGGCAGCTTAGTGGGCAGACTTGGTGACCAAGGAAAGAGGCTGAGCCTGTAGCACGGGGAGGGTCTGATGGGCATGGAGGGTGGCTGGGAAGGAAGGGGGAGAGGTCAGCAGAGCAGCGGGCACGGAGCCCAGGGGCAAAGGCCTGGTCAGCAGTGGGGGCTGGCTGCCCATCTGGCCGGAATTGCTGGCCGTGGCCTTAGCTGACAGGAAGGCAGCTGAATGGAGAGCCAGCTGGGCGCGGGCCTCCGGTTTGGTGGTGAGGGACAGGGGCTGGGCTTGCTCCGAGTGGGTGGCCGCGGGGGCAGCTGGCGATGCCAAGGCTGTGGAGGGAGTTGCAGGGGAGTCCAGCGTGCTGCCGTGGGAGGAGGCAGGGCTATCGCAGGGCTTCTCGGGGGGCAGGTACTGAATACATGGCTTCTTGCTCTTAGAGGCCAGAGCACCTAAAAGTAAAAACACAAGGAGAAAGGATCAGCTGATAGCATCAGGAGGCGCAGAGGAACAAGCAGTGGCTAGACACAGGTACAGTGAGCCTTGTGGATCTGTGGCTCCCACTCTGGGGATGCAACTCAGAGCCCGTGAGAAATACTCAGGGAAAAAACCTTGTCCATACTAAACTGCTATTTTTTCGAGAGGCAAATAGAACCTAACAGCTATTTCCACAGCACTCACTGTGTGGGGCGTTATAAGCCATCTAGAGTTGGTATCGGGTAGACGGAAGATATGCATAAGCTATATACAAATACAAGGCCACCTCACTCAAGGGACTCGGGCACCTGGAGACTGGCTATCTCAGGAGTGGAGTGCGGTGGGGCCCTGGAACTAATCCAAAGGATATTGACTGTACATTGGAAACGTTAAGATTACTTTAAAGATACTTGAAAAAACATTATATTGTGGGGTGTGTGTGGAGGGCAGGGGTGAAGTCTGGGCATCTTCTATTGCTTTACACCTTAATTTTTTAAAAAATTATTTTATGTGTATGAGTGTTTTGCCTACATGTATGTCTGTGTACTAGGTGTGTGCCTGGTACCTGTGGAGGCCAGAAGAGGGCATTAGATGCCCTATAACTGGAGTTACAAATGGGCACAAGTACTCTTCACTGCTGAGCCAACTCTTGAGACCCTCCCCCCTTTTTTTGAGTCTCTCACTGGATATGAAGCCTGTTGTTTTTAGTAGATAGATGACCAGGCTGCCATGGTGACTTTCACATGGGTGTCTGAACGCAGGTCCTCATGCTTGCCCAGACTATCCACCCAGTTAGGTCTCCAGTCCTTGGTTTATTTGTTTGCTTGAGACAGGCTCTCATGTATCCCAGGCTGGCCTCAGACTGAAGCCAACCTCTGGAGGGTTGGGATAGACACCCAGTACCACCCTGTTTTAGGTGGTGTTGGCCATCAGGCTCAGGGCTGCATGCATGCTTAGGCAAGCATTCCTTCAACTGAGCTGCATCTCCAGGCTGTTTAAAGATTCCAAGAATAGGAAACTACACTTAAGAACGCCCAGAGAAGGCACAATCCAAAGACCAAATACCCAAACTGACAAAGACCCACTCACAATCTGATCGGAAAGAAACAATTCAAAGTCTCCCTCCTTTCCATCCCTGCCTTAAACCCCTTAACTGTTGAGACGACTCTCAACTCCGTTTGCCTTCAAATCCTTGGCTAATGGCACAGAGAAGGGGCACTCACTCCTGCTGAGCATGTGGCATGTGACAGACTTCTTACTATTTTACTACTGTATGCTGTACCCAGGAATATACAGATGACGTGGAGGAAGGGAGGCCCAATGCACCACAAATGGCACAAGCAGTTGCCCACGTGTTACCTATCGGCTCTATACTGAGATGAGCATGAGATGAAGGCCAGGACCTAAAATCCCGCCATCCTGAGCAACGCTCTGTGCTACCTGCCATCTAGCTCAGCTTCTTGTGGGATGTGGTCCCTGAACAAAGGCGAACACTGTTCTTCTGGCGTGCTAAACACCTAATCCCGGTGAATTCATAGATAAGTGGTGTGATGGGCAATCTTCACCGTCACCATGGAAACACACCCCTCAGTGTGTCCATCATATGTTTCCAGAGAGTTTTAACAGAGCAAGGAGGACCCACCCTGAAAAAAGGCAGAGGTCCTAGACTAAATCCAAAGGAGAAAGCAAGCTGGGCACCCATTCACCTCCCTGCCTACCGGCCAAGAATACAGTGTGACAGCTGCCATTCCGCCCACCATGAGGGACAGTTCCCTCAGCTCTGAGACAGACCAAATCCTTCCTGATGATGCTTTGTCAGGTATCAGGGATTTTGTCAAGGCAACGAGAAAAGTAACTAGTCCAGGCACTGTGTTTACCTCTAGCACGCCACCTTTGGAAGGGATTTTAATTTCAGAGATTAATTCCAGCTAACTCCTGTTTTTACTGTATGCAGGACATAACCCTTAAAGGACAACTCAGTGGGACCAAGACATGCCTGAGCTTTGAAAAGATTGTCGGCCTCTCTCCATTTAAAATGCTGATTTTCTTAAGGAGAGTAACCGGGAGACAACCCCCCTTCCCCTGCAAACCCTCCAGAGTTTTATATGAGGAGGCTGGGCTCCAACCCAGGGCTGACAACAGTGTTCTCCCGGAGGACCCAGCCCAGGACTCACCCTCTGCCTCGTGGATTTGCTGCTGTGACTGTGTCTGTGACAGCTGCTTTTCTCTCTTCCTCTTCTTCTTCTTGCCCTGAAAAATATGGTGGCAGGACGAGATGACTAGGGACAGAATAACACCAGTCTGGCAAGAGGACCCCAGACCAGACCGCCTTGGGACACAGACCGCCTCGGGACACAGGTGCCAGCCTTCTTCTCCTGATTGCTCCTGGTGAGGGTGCTGGAGGACTGGGCTGGGAAAGGAGGCAGAGTGACCCTGCCCTTCTTTCTCAAAAAGTCCCTCTGGTTGGGGCAGTCAGGCCTCTTGGTCTTGAGGGCCTTCAAGCTATTCTGTTTAGCCCCCACCCCGACTCTGTGTGTGTGTGTGTGTGTGTGTGTGTGTGTGTGTGTGTGTGTGTGTGTGTGTATGTGTGTGTGTGTGTGTAATGCACATGGGGACCAGAGGACCAGATGCCATTCCTTAGGCACTGTCTACCTTTTTTGGAGACAAGGTCTCTTTACTGGCCTGGAACTCGCTCCCAAGGCTAGGCTGGCTAGTGAACCCCAAGGATTTGCCTCCCCCTCTCCAGTCTAAGAACACAGCACCATGCTCTGCTTTGTATGTAGGTGTCAAAGATTAATACTCGTCTTCCTGCAAAGCAAGTATTTTATCTACTGAGCTATCACCCTGGCCTGGTTGTTGATCTTTTCTGTAGTGTCCCAGGTCCCTCTGAAAATTTGATGCAGCTATGAACCCTCTTACCAGGAAAAAAAAAAAAAAAAAAGAAGAAAACCATATATTCAAAAATCTGACAAGTTTCGAAGAATTTCTAGACATGGCCCCTAAGAATTCAAACTTGGCTTCCTTGTTTCTAGAGAACATGGCTTCTCCTCTAAAAGCAAACTGAAGCTGCTTGCTTTCTCCCCTCTGCATCCTGAAGATGTGCAAGTGCAGTTCCCGGAAGGTGGGCGGGGGTGGGGAGGGGTCTGAGTTCTGGCACAGCATGAACACTTACATAGTTGTCCCGAGCTGACCAGGTTGGGTAGAGTTGAGCGTGAAGCTGCCGTTCTTTCCGGGCAAGCTCGTAGTATTTGGCCTGTTCTTCTCTAGACAGGTTGTGCCACTGAGGGAGAAAGGGTTAAGACACACAGAGCCATCAGGGTAGGGGATATGGAGGCTGATGATGCCAGGGCGAGCCAGCAGGAGGGCAGGCCTCACCTTTCTTCCCAGGATCTGGTTAATGGCTGCACTTTCCTTCAGGGTACACTCAGCCACCACCTTGGCCCTCATCTCCTTCATATACAACATGAAGGCGTTTAGAGGCTTTTTCACGTGCGGCTTCTTCTCCTCCTCCTTTTTCACGGTAACTGGGGATTTCCTGTGGAGGAATGTGGCTATGGGTTAGGTACCACCATCATCCGGCTCCCCATCCCTGCCTTTCTGAGGCAGCTGACCAAGGCCTCTGGGAGGAGAGGCTTGTTTGCGTAGCCATGTGTGACTGCTTTAAGGATCTGGGGGGCGGGGGGAGGGAGAGAGAGAGAAAAAAATATATATAGAGAGAGGAATAATAATAATAGTAACAATAATAATAATAATAATAATAATAGGAAGAGGAGGAGGAATTGGAGGAGAGAGAAGGAGGGCAGGGCATGGCTCTCTGGGCTCCTCAGCCACAGAGCTAGTGGTGTGGGCTTTCCTGCTGTCTTTCCAGCATAGAGGATAACGTCTGGGTCTCTGGTCCGGCATCAGCTCTCACCAGTCCTTGAGAGAATTTCTTTCTACCCTCCCAGCCTCATATTTTATTGGGATGACAGGGCAAGAAGGGAAGCTAAAAGCTTCCTTCGTTCCTCACAGTCTCTAGAACCTGACTATGAGAACGGACGCATCAAGTCTTAAAGGAAGGGTCGCAGACACTCGACGAGAGCAGCCTCCAGGAGAGAAGACAGGGCTAAGATTGCAAGCTGACACCAGGAGAGAAAACCAAACGGCACGGGCTGTGCAGACTGGCCAGTCACTCACACCCCCCTCCATCCAGACAGCCTCTTACTTACGCACTCGCTGCAGGGCTCAGGCTGGGGGGCGCTGGCTCCTGCTTCACAATGGGGGAGACGATGGCAGGGTGGGGAATTCCTGAGGTGGGCAGGCCAGGATGGGCAGAAGCCACCATGTGTGGGGAGAACCGGCTTGAGACCAGGCTGCATGACAAATGGAAACAAATGAGAATAGAGAGGCAAGGGCTGTGTGCCACCCAGATGGTTGTCATCTGCAGAATTAGGAGATCGGTTTTGGGGGCCGCCTAAGGATGCTATTCCTTCCCCTCACACACACAAGGTCCCCAAGCCTGGTGCTGGATGCAGGTGGAATGACAAACAGAGGTGTGTGTGCGAGTCCTAGGGTCCATATTCCATGGGGTTATGGTGTAAGGAGCATTGGGCAAGAGGTAGCCCCTCATCAAAGAGAAGTGAGGACCGGGGAACCCCATACCTACTCACTAACCTACAGGGGACAGGCTGGTTTACGGCCACAAGTGGCAGTCACTAATAGACAAATATCCCAACACTTCCTGTTGACAGCCCCAGCCCCAAGACTAACCTGGACATTGAGGCATTCATGGCGAGGGCAGGGTAAGGATGCCGGAAACCACCAGGAGGGAGGGAGTACATAGGCTGTCCTTGCCTGTGAGGGTGAGAGAGGAGCGAGATAATCTAGTCAGACGGGTATTTAAGGCCAAGACTGAGGGGGCTGGAGAGAAATAGGGGCAGAAGTCAGAGGAGCTGGGAGGAAGCTGGCCAAGGTGGGAGTGAGGGTGTCGAAGTTCTGGGGTCCAGAAGGCAGAGCTCAGTAGAGGGGGCAATGAGGGTAAGAGAGGCGGTGGGTTTCCTTACTGTGGGACAAGCCAGCCGAGGGGATGAGGGATTTGTCCGACAGCTCCTGGAGACAGTGGGTAGTATGGCGAGAGCTCAGAGGGATGAGGAGGCCGGGGGATTCCTGCTTCCAAAGAGAGAGGTGTCAAGTACTTCCCTCACCCTACCTTTATAACTTCCCTAACACCCAACAGGAGCCTCCTTCCCCTGCATGCCCAGGTTGTCCACACCCTGGGAAGCCTTGTCTCTCCTCCTTCATTTCTGCCCTTTCCACCAGCAGGCAGCTCTGGGCTGCCACTCAAGGGCACCCAAGGGCGTGAGGACCCATAAACCTTCTCTCTAGTATCTTTGTGGTTGTAATTTTCTGTTGTTGACTGGACAGGGATGCATACAGGGTCCAGGACATACCCAACACAGAGCAAAAAGTACCCCGACTCACCTTTAACTAATGTTCTAGAAAACCTGCTTCATTCCCAGTACAATAAACTTGTTCTGCCAATAAACCACCCTGCCTCTAAACTCTTGATTTTCACTCTATGTTTACCCACCCCACCACCCTGCAATGATCATTATTTCTCCAAACAAGGGCTCTGAAACTTCTTAGAACCACAGTGACTCAGTAGGAATGTTATGAAGACCTTGGCTCCCAGGGATGGACAGGTATGGTGGGCAGTTAATTATCACCAACAACACATCAAGTCAGGCCCGCCCTCTGTTTTACAGCTATTTTAAAGTCTGTCCAGAAGGCTTCTATTTGAAATGTACGGTGAGGGCATACATCCTGGTTTATGGAGGCACAGCCTCGGATAGACTGGACAGCACTCTGAATTTACAATGGTACCAGGCTCTGTGCTTAACAGGTCTCATTGCTTCTAGTCCTCACAATGGCCTCTTAGTGTGGAGAGGTGGAGGGGGGGGGGGCATGGGTTAAAACCAAACAAACAAACAAAAAAACCCACCAGACCCAAACAACAAAACACTACTCCAGCGAACCGGCAAGGCGAGCAACCTCTTGAGAGCTGCAACAAGATCTGAACACAGACCTTACTCATCCAAGGACTCTTCGGTACCCCACCCCAAAGGAAAGGGGGCCGCCCCACGGGAGCACAGCCTGTACCAGGGACCACTCACCTGTCTTTGGATCGATCTCCGGGGAGAGATGCGTGGGAGGGGACGCAGGGGAGAAGTGGTCGTTGCTGTAGGTGATGAGGGGTGTCAACGGGTGCATGTGATGAGGGTGCTGAACAACAGGAACCTTGTTGGACTGCAAGAGAGAGAAGACGGACTAGGCACAGGGGCCAGGGAGACGGTGTGTTCACCAGCTGTCATTCACTGGTGGAATGTGTGCCGGCTCTTTTCTGTGCAACGCCCTACCCAGTCCTCATAACTGGCCTAGAGAAGAGGATGAGAGAGGACGGCGAACCCCTCTCTAAACCTGCCCAGCACCTCTTCACAAGTGCAGTGGGCACCCGTGGGCCACTCAGTTCTAATGGGCTATGGCACCTCTCTAGGTGGGAGAGGGCTTGGCACACTTTCTAGACTGCTTCCATGGAAACGGGAGATCTCAGGTTTGTCACCAAGTTCAGACTTACAGATGAAGGGCGCTCTCAACTCTCTGCTACTTCCTGCAGCCCTTCTATTCATCTGGTGTTCACACCACAAACTCTCATCTGCTCAGTTCCAGTTGCTTCCTAGGCTCACAGGTCTTTCTGCAGATAAGGTAGCAGAGCAAGGGGTGGAGAGTCCATCCCGATTATGAGCCGTGCTGCTGGCCTTGGTGGTGGACATAGGCTTTACAGTGAGCAACTTCCTAAGCCCTCTGTGCTTGTTAGACGTAGTAGCGTGAGGACTGTTCTCACTTTATCCACTGGCCATCACCAATGGTTCTCTACCCACAAACACACAGCACAACTAAAAGCATAAACAATAACTAACTCTAACATCAGATTGCTAAGAACCCAGTGCATCCAAAGGATGAACTTGGGTTTCTTGGGGATGGTTTGTCAAAGGGTGACTATTGGTATTATAAACATAATAGGACTATTACCAAAGAAAAGTAAGGGATGGAAGAATTATAGAGAATGCTCAGATGGTTCAGTGGGTCACGGTGTTTTCCACCATGCCTGACAACCTGAGTTCTATACCTAGAACCCACACAGTAGGTCCTCTGACCTCTGTGAGAATACCATGGAACAATGATGCCCCCCACACACAAATAATAGTGAAAAAAAAAAAAGAATCACACAAAACCATCTCAATTGGGAAAACACATGAACTATGATTTTAAAAAATGGACGCTACACACTTAAGCCAGCCCCTGCCACCAACTTCTCATGTCATTTATTATTTTTGACATCATCTCATTATATGGCCCAGGCTAGTCTCAAACTCATGATCATCTGTTCCAGCCTTCATGCCTCAGTTTTTAATTTATCCTTATTTGCATCATCTTGTCATTTTATAGTAGAGAAGTCTTGGGCAGGGGTGTATGCCTCAGTTTTTAATTTTTACTTATTTGTATCATCTTGTTATTTTATAGTAAGAAGTCTTGGGCTGGGGTGTGTAGCTCAGTTGTCTGGCATGCTTGAAGGCCTGGGTTTGATCCCCAGCACTGCATAAACTGGGTGTGGTGGCATGTATCTGTAACCCAAGCATTTGCACTGGGCAAGTGGAAGAAGAAAAATCAGGAGTTGAAGGTCATTCTTTGCTACATAGCGAGGTGAAAGCCAGCCCAGGGATATAGCACTCTCTGTCTCTGTCTCTGTCTCTGTCTCTCTCTCTCCACCTTCCTCCCTCTAGTAAAAAGTCTCAGTTGCCCACATGCCATTGAGTCAAAGAACACAGAGCAAGGAGTTCAATTTGCAATCTAGGTATAAAACCAACCTAGATGTCCTGTGGGCTATTATCTGCCACTAGGGGGCAACATTGTTCAGGAAATGAACTTCAAGGGGCCAGGCGGGAAGTAAACGCTGCTAAGCAAGAACTGTTCTAAGTCTGGCCTCGTCTTTCAGGCTACAGTCCTACTCTGCTCTCCTCACTCTCCTCTCTCTCCAGCTGCCCCCAGGGCTGATGACCACAGCTGAGGTCATGGATCAGGAATGTACAGCCTCGGTGGACAACCTCAGTGAAGACACAGGTGCTTGCTCCCGGAGGAATGCACCCATCCAGAACAGAGCCAAAGCCTTCCTGCAAGCTCCACGGCCCGAGCACTTCCTCAGCCCAGGTGTCTTGTCCATTTTAAAGTTTTGTGTGTATGTGTACACATATGGAGGCCCAAGTTGACATCGGGTTGTCTCCTTTGGACTTACTGAGCAGGTAGGTCCCTTGCTGAACCCATCGCTTACTGATTTTGGCTGGACTGCTTGCCTAGGGAGGGGTCTTTATCTACTGAGCCTGGAGGAGGCCGCCACACAGGCTTAGGTTTTCTATGAGTTCTGAGGCTCCCAACTCCCTCTGGCCCCCACACTTTCAGAGCAAGCACTTATCTGCTGAGCCATCTCCCTAGCCCGTCTCTACCTTTATCGGGCATGGGTTTAACTGGAACCTAGGCCGGCTTATGGCCACCACAACCTTCTTCAGTCTTTTCCAAGTTTGAATCTCTTCAAACTCCCAGCTCTTAGGGAAGTAAAGCCCCACCTCCGCCTCACACTTCAGGGTGTATTTCAAGCCCAAAGTAAAGGGAACCCCTAATGGCTGCCCCATGGAAAACCCTCCACCAGAGCCCCCTCCTCATTATTTTTTCCCCCTTCTTAACCTGATCAAAATCAGGTGCATGCAAGTTTATGGCTCAGGAGAGAGTAGAGCCTTCCCGTTTTCATCACTCACGAAGGAGTCATGGACTTCACAATGGCTGCCCAGGAAGGCACCTAACACTCCAGGAGGCAACTAACAGTATTCAAAACGTGAGTCCTACCCACCATCAATGATCTGTCTGCTGACAGAGACCACCTTTTCTTGATGGTGGTGGCAGGGGTGCTGTTCGTGAGAGACCATGCAGAAAGGCAGGGAAGAACGAAAACCAAGAATGTTTGCAGTGCCATGGGCTTCTCTGAATCATCACAAAGCCCCTGGGAAGGAGTGGGACAGGAAGCGTTTGGGAGAGGCTCCAGCAGACCTTGTCCCTCCAGGTACAACCTGCTGAGATCGTAAAATGTGGGTCTGGAAGGAGAGCCCCGAGGACATGGAGGCTCCGCTACAGCATTCCGCCATACTGCGGCTCTTCTATCTGTCCCAGGTGATCAGCTAAGCTAAGGGTTGCTCCATTTCTTCTGTTGGCCAACCCAGGCAACAGAAAGCATCAGCTTTGCTGCATCCCTTCAGTTTTAACCTCGGGTTTGTTGCAGGAACAGCCCCCAAGCTCCTTGCATGTTTCCTAAGTGTATTCCTAAGAGCCGAATGGCTCCTTAGGTGGGCTCAGCTAAGCCGGGATGTGTTACAAGAACCAGCACATAAGTGTGTTGTCACACCTCAACACGAAACTTCCGACTTCCTTCGGCACACCTCACATTTAACACAGTAAGGCTTCATTCCATTTTTTTTTTTTTTTTTTGGGAAACAGGGTTTCTCTGTGTAGCTCTGGCTGTCCTGGAACTCACTCTGTAGACCAGGCTGGCCTTGAATCACAGAGATCCACCTGCCTCTGCCTCCCTAGTGCTGGGATTAAAGGTGTATGCTGCCACTGCCTGGCCCTGATTTAAAATTATTTTAAACATTTATTTGTGTGTGTGCTCATGTGTGCACACACACACATGCTACAGCGTGCTTGTGGAAATCAGTGAATTGGTTCTCTCCTTCCATATGGGTTTCAGGGCTAGAACCTCAGATCACCAGGCTGAGCCATTATGCTGGCCCCCATACATAGATATCCATGACAGTGAGCATGTCCTACTGTCCATCTGCCCAGATCTTCTTTTGTTTTTTGCTAATCCACTGCTTAAAGTTTTATGACAGAGAGCAACCTTCTCTGCATGCATCCTATTACAGATTCCTACAAAGCTCTTCCTTAAGCAAATTCATGAGATGTCTCCTTTCTAACTCTGCATATGTCTCCATCTCTGTCTCTCTCTGTTTTTTGTTTGTTTATTTGGTTTTATTTTTGATACAGGGTTTCTCTGTGTAGCCCTGGCTGTCCTGAAGCTCACTCTGTAGACCAGGCTGGTCTTGAACTCAGAGATTCACCTGCCTCTGCCTCCGAGTGCTGGGATCAAAGGTGTGTGCAACCACACCGGCCTTATTTCTCTTTAATAAATGAATTCTGTTTTAGATTTTTCTTTTCTTTTTTTTAAAGATTTGTTTATTTATTATGCATACAGCTCTCTGTCTGCATGTATGATTATAAGCCAGAAGAGGGCACCAGATCTCATTATAGATGGCTATGAATCACCATGTGGTTGCTGGGAATTGAACTCAGGACCTCTGGAAGAGCAGTCAGTGCTCTTAACTGTTGAGTCATCTCTCCAGCCCACTTGTTTTAGATTTTTAGACTTTATTTTATGTGTATGAGTCTTTGCCACGTGCACGTCTGGTGACCACAGAGGTCAGAGGCACTGGATCGATCCCTTGGCACGGGAGTCAGGATGGTTGTGAACCACTGTGAAGGTGCTAGTCGCAACCTGGTTCCTCTGTGAGAGCAGTGCGTGCTTCTGACTGCTGGCCCAACAATGTCAGAGCTACTGCTCCCAAATTTCCCACTTTCCTCACGCCACAGTTTCTGGATTCCTCTCCGATTTCTGGCCACCTGTTTCTAAACTACTCCCAAGACTATCTTAAAATTAGCAAAATATTCCAGAAGGAGCCAGCTGGTGCAGAAAATAAGGGTGAAAGATTTACATGCAACAAGAACTGAGGCAAAGAGGAACTTAGTTAAAATTTGGACAAGAGGGACTGGTAAGACGGCTCAGCCGGTAAAGGTTTGTGTCACTAAGCTTGACAACATGAATTCAATCACAGGAACTCCCAAGGTGGAAGAAGAAAGCGATTCCTGGAAGTAGTCCTCTGACCCACACAAACCCACCATGAGGCATGTGCTCCCCTCCCCCCCCAGTAAATAAACATATGTAAGAAAACAAAAGAAACCAGCCCAGGCATGATGGCACATGCCTTTGATCTCAGCACTCCGGAGGCAGAAGTAGGTGGATCTTCATGAGTTCAAGGCTATCCTGGTCTATACAATGAGGTCTACATAGCCAGGGCTATGGAGAAAGACCCTGTCTCAAAATACCAAACAAACAAACCCTAAACAAATAAAACAAAATCCAAAATTGG